TTGTTATTTTTTAGTGTTTAATATATAAAGATATTACACACAGAAAATTAGTAACAGCACTTATGTTGTGCATTAGGTTGAATGGTAACAGTTTCTTTTTATGGTGAAAAGTTTGGTTTCTATTTTGATGTAGCCCATTTGCCCTCCACATTATCAGAAATTATAGTGAATTATGGTTTGTAGGGTTTTTTCCCAGTAGATTAGTCTGGAAATCATATTGCTTATGTTGTTTTGAGAGAATTCAAGTAATCATCATAGTTATTTAAGCTCAATATCCAGGACCTCTTCGTAATTTTTCTTTTGTATGGAATGGATTTATTTGGTCAGTACAGACAGGCAATTACTGTCTAGTGATTAACCTCACCATAAACTTCCATACACTCTTTTTGTTTGACTCTCATATGAAGAAAGCAGAGACAGCGTCTTCAAGAATTTGACATATACCAGAAGGAGGTTGTCAATTATCTTTTGCAATATATGATGTATGGATTCAAAAAGTACATATTCCCTCAGTCCTCAGGTGATCCCTTCTGTCCCTATGGTTGGTGCTTCACTGTGCAACAGTATTTCAAACAGACTTGGACTGACAGAAATGAGAAAGAAAAAAAGCATTGGAACCAGATGCATGTAACTATTTGTAGTAATAGTTCAAAAAATGTAATTCATCACTTCTGCTGTAGGTAGGAGTTCAGTATTTAATGTTTAACTAGACAGACTCAGAAAGAGACTTGGCTGATTTTGATGTGCTAAAAATGAATGAATGCATATGGAGGGAATTATTCAGTGGATTCCACCTCTGCAAACCCTGGCAGATGTAAGGACAACCTCCAAATCAGCAAACTGCTTGGGTAGTAGCGTAGGTCTTTATACCATCTTTATATTATGTGACTAAACAGAACAAACAGATTTACTCATAGTACTACTAATTTTATACTGCTTCTGTATTGATGTCTTGATAAGCCTTTATATCAATGCTTTATAGGGAGAGTTTCACACTTTAGGTGCCTGTCCTATGCTTCCTCCGTGAGCTGAAAAACAGTTTGAGTTGCCCTGGATATACATTGAGGAATGTATAGAATAAATGGGAGGTGGAAGGGACTGTTTGGTTTTTTTGAAAAAGAAATTAAACTTTAATTCAAGAACTGAGAATTAAATATTGTGAATGTCAAATTAAAAGTAGAAAATTAAATTGATAGTTGATTGCTTTACTGTGTTAATGAAAACATAATTAATTGAAACAAAGGAACGATGTATCTTTCTGACATACAGTCTCCAACAAGTCTCCAGGTAATATCAATAAATAATGTTTGTGTGAACCATTGCTAAGAACAAATTCCATCAATAAATCCCAGCTCCACAAGGAATGAAAAAATGATCTCTAAGGCATTTGAAATTTCCCTGCCAAACATACTTTTAATTAAAGAATTTCAGAAATCTGCATAAAAATTACTGCTTTGCCTCAGACTTTCCAGAACGTATGGGAAGTTTCAATGTGTTTATCAACTTCTAATGAGTTTAACAAAGTGGGATTTATGAAAAATAACTCTCTGTATGCATTAGCATTACCTTGTGTGGTAATGGTGGTTGTCCCACCATCACACACCCATCATTAGAAAACAGAGTCACCTATTTTCTTCCATTTTCTGTGCACTATGTTTCCATGTGTTTAAGATTGGAATTTGGACTTGCTACGTTTCTTACCTGGAATATACTGTCTTTCCCCTAGAAACAGAAAAAAAAAAAAACCCCAACCAAACAAAACCCAAACACCTCTGTTGCAAGAAATCCATGAGCCAGATGGTATAGATGTATACATTTGTGGTATTCTATCAAAGCCAAAGATCTGCCTTTATGCATTATTACCATTGCCTAGTAAGAAATCAAATGGTTAATTGTTTTGCTAAGAAATCATAGGTATCTGGTTGTTGACATAACAGGAATCAGTGTGTTAAGCAGAGAGCAGAGCTGGATTAATGCAACATTCTTGTTCTTTCTTTTAACTAGCAGAGATAAGGAGAAACAGGCATAATATCCAGAGAGTAGAGTGACACAACTGTAGCGATACTCTCCAGTTACCTAAAATTTTCTTTTACCTTTGGTTCTCCAATACTCAAATAGGAACGAACAAGATAAAAATAATTATTTTGGAAAGTAACATTATTTCAGTGGGTAGCCTATCTCTGAAAAATTTTCACTGAAAACTTTTCTTCAGATTGGAAACGAAGTTTGGGCCCCAACAGTCATTTGTAGAAACATCTCAGAGTTATTTATTGGAAACAGGCTTTTTTGCAAATGATAATTTAGGTGTTCTATAAGAGAAATAAAAAGAAAAAGCTATTAAGACCTGCTGAGAATGTTCCTTTGCTGAATTTGTGGGATAGGAGAGATGCTAAACCTTTTTCTCACAGACTGCTTATGCTACTTCATGCACATAATATATCTGTTCTTTGTTTCAAATACACACAAGTTCCAATCTCCAATTCTAAAGTCATGGGCACCATAGATCTACCTAAATTAGAATGGCAGACCTAATACTGAGGTGACATATTCACATAAATACATAAAATGAATGTATCCTGTAAGTATGTCAAAAGTACACTGACATGCAGAGTAACCTGAAGTTTCTGGTGATTTTTAGGACAGGAGTGAGTTGCTCTCTTAATAAAAAAGAAAGAGTAACATAAATCTTGTTAGAGAAGAAAAGATAGGATGACTTCAGACAATGTAAGAAAGGATAGAAACAGTATTCTTGACTTTATAAAGAGTCATAAAAAACTTTCGTTCTAGTATTATCCATAGGAATTAGAGTAGAAGGTAGAACACAAGAGTTTGTTGGAAGAGAAGTGCCATATGTATAAGCAACTGCAATACCGCAAATTAAATAGCAGCTCCTGGATTACTTAAGGCAGGCAGGCTGACCCAGCTATGACACTGGTGGGATGCGGCAGCACCCTGCCTTCCTCACCTCTCCTCTCTGAGCAACTGTGGAAGATCATTAACTTCAGGATCCCCTTTATTTTGGCAACCTTGCAGTCTCCTATAGGGAAACCATTAGTTGATATTACAGACTATTAAACTATGGTTGTAATTATATAAGCACATTATTTTCAGTATTGATGTAGTATATGCTTGTTGTGATAACCTCAGTGCTTCACACCTTACATACCTGTGTGCCTCATAGTGGAATATGGAATGGCTTGTATTCTGATTCAGTATTAAAGTTGAAAAAAAAAAAAAGAAAAAAAAAGAAAAAAGGAAATTCACACATTTTGAAAAAGGCCAAACACACTTTATGGGTGATATCCATCTCATCTAACTATAGCAGCTGAAAATCCCTAAGCTATGGAAAAAGATGATTTTCCCTCCTTTTAAAGAATGAGAAAACAAATTGCTCTTTCTTAGCTTAAATTTTGAGTACTGAATGCCACGTTAGGTACACCTTTAAAGTAACAACCATACTAAGTGCTCACATTTTTGGTTTTATGATAAAAGTCTTGTTAATGGCAGCAACATTGTACTAGCATTTGTAAGTGAAACACAAAATCTTCGAAGGCTATCTGCCTATTCCTTACCAAGAAGTAGTATATACTTTGCTTCTGATCCAAAATATTTCTTCTTATAATATAGATGCATCTTTCAGGTTTTATTAGGATAATTCTTTTTGTCTTGATTTTAATGTTGAAAGATCTGTATCTCACGCTGAAAATATATAATCTAAGTGATTTGAATCAATTTCCTTATTGTTCTGAGATCTGACTTAGAATTATATGCTTTGCAAAATACAAACTATACACTGATTATTCTAGCTTGTAACTAATGAAAACATCCACATAAACAAAAAAAAAAAGCATAACTGGTGGTTCTTGGCTTCTGGTTATATAATTACGCATTCTAAAAAGTCCTGTAACATACAAAAACCTTTGTAGACAT